CTGACATCCAACAGATGGTTGCAAATCTTTGCAAAACACAGATTCTCTAAATATTTTGTGAAGAATGAATTGTTCGACAATAATTGAAATCGGAACACAAACAAGTATGCAAGAGTGTCAGTTTTAACTCTACTGTCGAACTTTTAATTAATTCACTGTTGACCTCATACGCTGTTGGAGACAGATACATTGTATGAAAAGTCTTCACTGGATAAACACTTTAACAAAAATAATGATGATATCACAATTTTAGATCAGATAAAGTCTTAATGTGGTATCCCTCAATTCTTAGATTATTTATATCAACAATCATGCTAATTCGTAATAACTTGAGCAAGTTTCCGTATTACAATTGGGAATAAATATGATCATATCAAGTCGACATGACACAAATAGAGTCAAGAAAGTGAAATCTTATTGAACAAGCGCTGTAGTATGTAACTTTTGTTTAACATATAGAATAAGCTCAAGTATACGACCTTCCAACATACAGCTTACAAGGGTGTCATTAACTTGTGCAGTATAATACCTGCATGAAAATTTAGAAAAAATACCCGAACATATCCTCAGCATGGATACACATTCTTTATTATTTGTAAAATGTTTGAATATGATAGTATTTTACATCACCATAAGAGTTGAATTCTACTTCTATGGATATGTCAAAAGTGTTTTGTGCCAGAATTATGAATGAAATTCTGACTGAAATTATATAGTTTTTGTGTGTGTGTACTTTGTGTTTGTTTTGTACCTCTAGGTTACTGAAGGTGGAATTTTCAAAATTCCGAAACATTTAATTTTGTTTTGTTTGTAATTAAGCACAAAGCTAAACAATGGGCTATCTGTGCTCTGCCCACCACGGGTATCAAAACCCGGATTCTAGCGTTGTAAGTCCGCAGACATGCCGCTGTGCCATTGGGGCCAAATGTTTAATAAATGCTTCACAATATTATGTTCGTGTTTTACTTTATTACTAAATTAGGGTTTCTGAAAAATTAAACAATTATTCTTATTTTTGATATTAGACCATTATTCCAAATGCTATCAGCATGTCCGCTATCCTAACTTTTTCTTTAATATTTAAGATAAATCAGCCTTAATTTATACATAGTCCATAGAATATGGTTTAAACTATTTATGACTCTTCCCATAATCTATTTTTTTTATAATCGGAAATAATCCTGAGGGTCCTTCTTCAGATTATTTCTAGAAGATCAATATTCCTTTTATATTATAAGAACATTAAAACTGAACATAAACAGAAAACATTATTATAATTTTATGTGCACATTAAAAATAATATTTAGTTTATAAATGGTTTTTAAGAGAGGAGAAAGAAAAAAGACAACGAGTTTTATATAATTACATATAAAAGAATAGCCATTAGAGGGACTCAACGGACATGACGTCATTCCAAATTTTACAAGCACAATTTCACAGTTTAAGTTTAACGTGTTAGTTATAACTGTTATATTCTCCCGCCAATTTAGTGTAAGCGGTCAGGACTTAAATTTTTGAAAAGAAGGCGGTAAGTGAGATGGCTAAGTTAGATTGTATAGTAATTTTAGGATATTAAACGCAATTGGAATTAAGTATTAGTTATTATACATGTGTTTCTTTATTTTTTGTTATAGTTTCACAAGTTGTCAGTGTAAGAGGTCATATACAGTACAGAACTCTAGACTAGTCTAACAAGTACGTTATACATACACTATAGTTGCAGTAGTACTACTAATTCAGTAATTGTTTATCTTAATGTTTAATAGTACTCTTAGAAAACATGTATGTGGCGAATTTTAAATACTGATTGATAATTATATTATTGGTGGGAATTATCTAACAGTAACACTAGTAGTAGTATTGAGTATTAACAATAACAACTGAGCATTATGGCTGTCCGTTATCTGGCTTGCTATTGCTATAGCCAGTCATTCATATGATTATGATTGGCAAATATTCAGTGACTTTTGTTGGCCTTATTTTATAAAATTAGTTTTTCTGTTATCTGAGATTTTTACGTTTCTAACCTCAATACTGTAAGTGTAAGCTGACTGTAACGTGTATGTTATAACTTATTGTTTCGGTACAAAGAAGGATTCTGGTGGGCTATTTACAACCAATCACGATTTAGTAACTAACGAATAGTATTTAAAATTAACTTTCTCATTGACCAATCATTGTCGATCTTTAGCGCTCCAATGAAAGAATTGCATGTAGTGACGTTTAATTTGATGTCATTTCCCATTGTCGTTGTGCAAATTTTTATAAATTTGAAAAGTAAAACAAACGTGTTAACTGTTGTCAAGAGTTACTGTAACGTTTAACAAAAATTTAACATATACCAAAGTGTCCTAGGACTCAGAGTAGGATTTAGTAACATATTTGACCCGTTCTATTTTCGTTATACACAATAATTCTACCAATTGTGTTAGATTAATATTAACAACTCAAGTTTTCAAGAACATAATAATTGATATTCATAAGTTATAAGGTGAGATTTAATTACTAAATTAGTTAATAAAATAGAACTAGCCTCGACTACAAGTCAACACCTAGTTAGTCTCAACAATTAAAGTAAGTTAACCATAATAGAAGTGGAAATTTGCTATTTAGGGCAACTATCGCACTACAAAAAAAATACCAGAATAATATTTTACTGGTGCATTTTTATGCCCTAAATTATCCGAATCCAGAAAGTTTTCATCATATGGCGTTTTTGCAGATCTTGGCCCTAAATTAAAGTATGAGTTAATAGTGAACTTCCTAAGTAAATTCAGTAAGCCTGTTGTTAAAGCTAAAATTTTTAGTAAAAACCAGTACGTTTTGTTGTACAATTTGAAGGTTCAATTTTCACCTGTGTTGAAATATTTTTTTATGATTTAATAGAAATTTGTACAAAATTTGTTGATTATAAGGATGCTCTCGTTAGTAATTTTAGGCTTTTGCATATTGTCATTTGAAAGTGAACTATTTTCACGAAGATTTCTTCTGAAAATTCAATCTACAATAATAAAAGAGGCTCTGTGTGTGTGACTGTCATAGTTCCAAGAGGAAAGAACCTCTTATTCCTGAAACTTTGCATGCATACCAAGGGGGATTCTGAGGGTGTGCACCTGGGTATTATTTTTTAGATTTGACTCCAAAAAAAAAAAAATTGGCCAATTTTTT